AAAGCCGTAAAAGATTGACAGACTTGAATTTTAGAGTGTCCACAGGCCCATATCCATGAGATCATTCTCCAAAGGTTCCATATTAATCATTTCACAAAATTTCAAGTGTAAATTTTCTTAAAGATATACTTCACTCCCCCTATAAACTCCTTTTTCCTTTGAAAGTGTAGTTTTTTGTTCGCCACCATGAATGTATCTATATTATTCATAGAACAACTGCTTTCCATTGGACAGAAAAAAGAAAGATACAGATGCTACTTCCATTTCATTTATTACACAGAAGTACATATATTTTTCTCCGGTCATTCTCCACATGTTGAAACTAGATTTTAAAATTTAATCCCCGATATGACTTGCCTTTCAGAACAGCTAAAGTGCTTTTTTTCCCAACCAAAAAAAAACGGACACCAAATCCAATAGTAAGACACAATCAGTGATAAATTGTAACACGAAATCAGTCTCCTCAAGGCTAAATGAAGCCATTAGTGAACCATAGCTCTATCCAAGAAGATCTTCTATCACTGGTAGTGGCAATGTTTTAAAAAATGGTCCGCTCGATGCCTAGGCGACCTGAACCAAAAAGCCGCATGCCTAGAACTAGGCGGCCCTAAAAGGGCATATATACCTAGGCAAGCGCCCAGTTCTGGGCGAGCGCCCAAGGCCGTAAGGCCTTTTTCGTTTTTTTAAATGGCCCAACAGGGCAAAAGGGGTCATTTTGACCCCCAAGGTTGTATAAAACATTATGGGGTTTATTTTTAAACCCCAAAGTGAAAAAAAAAACCCTCAATCTCTATGCTAAACTTATTTCTGAGAATCTAAAGTAATTTCTATGAATTGAAAGTATTTTATGTGAATTGAAAAAGTTTTATTTTCTCATTGAAAATATTTTTAGGGTGTTATTGGTGGCATTAAAAGACTTTTGAGTTGATTAGTAGCTCGATTGAGGTAACCAACATCAAAGATCAAAGATTGGGTAAAAAAGGCCACTTTGTAATCTTTATTTGAGTTTTATTTTTTCAATTTGAGATGTCTTTTGCGGGATCTACTAGGGATGGAGATCCAGGATGGAAATATTGTGTTAACCCGGTTAAGAATGATAGGAATAAAATTATGTGCAATTTCTATGGACATGTTTCTAATTTCGCCATAAATAGATTTAGGAAACATCTTGTCGGTATTAGAGGTGATGTTGCCCCATGTAAGTAAGTCCCAGTGTAAAAAAAGAAATTTCTGAATACATTGAAGGTGAAAAGAGTAAAAACAATTTCATAACAAAATGATCTAGCAGAATTAAAGTCAAGGGTCTATGTTTCTGATAATAATATTGACACTGAAGAAGAGGATGAAGAGGGGGAAGAAGAAGTAGCCATGGTTGAAACTCATAGCTTTAAGAGCAAGAGGGTTCTTGGGTCTAAGAAGCCTCGTATGAGAGGGCCCATAGATAGTTTTTTTACACGTAACCCTAAGACAGTAATTGAGAAGGGCAAAGGAGGAAAGGGGAAAAAACAAGTGGTAACTGAAAATAGATTTAAGAAGGAAGATAGAGGCAGGGTGATTTAGTATATTGCTTGATGGTTTTACCATACAGGCATTTCTTTTAACACCACTCGCTTGAATGTTGGAAGCAATTGGATAATTTGGGCCAGATTTGAAAGGTCCAACTCCTTATGAGAATGGAGAGCCACTACTGAAGAAAGAAGTTGAGTATACTAACGAATATCTCAAGACCCATAAGGAGAGGTGGGCTAAATTTAGGGTTTCTTTAATGACATATATGCGGAGTGATAGAAGGAGGAGGAGTTACATGAATTTGTTGGTAAATGATTCCTCGGGTACAGTTTTTTTACGATCAATTGATGCTTCCAATGATATTCATGATGCTCATTATAATTATATATTTTCTTTCATTGATAAGGGTATCGAGGAGGTTGGGGAGGAACTTGTAATTCAAGTGGTCACATATAATGCTACTCTCAATCTAGTTGCAGATCATTTGCTTCGACATAAGAGACCTCGCATATTTTGGACTCCTTGCGTTACACATTGCATAGATCTTATGCTTAAGGTCATTTGTGATTTGCCTACTATTAAAGGAATTCTTTTTAAGGCTAAGGAGGTTACAATTTTCATATACAGTCACATACTTAACCCTAGCATGATGCACAAGTTTACAAAGAAGAGACAGCTAGTGAGGCCTGGGGCCACTAGATTTGTCACTGCCGACCTTAGTTACAGAGCATGTATAGGAGGAGGATCGCATTAAGGTCTATGTTTGCTTCAGAGGAGTGGAGTAGGTATAAGTGGTCTAGAGATGCCAAGGGAAAGAAGGCACGGGATATTGTTCTTTCGAACTATTTTTGGCATGGGGTGAAGCATGCGATATTAGTATTTCTTCCCTTGGTGAAGGTCTTCCGCTTGGTTGATGTTGATAAGCCCTCCATGGGCTTTATATATGATGTAATGGAAAGGACTAATAATGAGATTGCAGAGAATTTAGACAATGATGTTGCCAAGTGCGATCCAATTTGAGAGATTATAGATGACAAATGGGATAGACAGTTCCATAGACCATTGCATGCAACGGGGTACTACTTGAACCCCAAATTCTTTTATGAAGATGTGCACATTGAGTCAAAATGGATAATTATGGAAGATTTTAATGAATGCCTTGAGAAATTAGTTCTAGATCCACATATCCAAGATAAGATATCAACTAAAGAGCTTATTTCGTACCAGTGTTCTTTGATGTTATTTGGGAAAGATATGGAATTAAGACAGAGAAACAAAGACAAACTAGATAATATACTTTTTATTTTTGTTTTATAAATTATAATTTTCTTTCAAGTTTCAAGTTCTTAAAATTATGTGTGATAATGTTAAATACCTAAATTAATTATAAAGGTTGCCTACATATTGCAGCCCAATGGTAGAGACAACATGGAAGTAGCGCTCCAAACCTCCAGAAGATGGCTATATGGATCTTGCGTTTGACAACTACCTCTTCTGGTTATGAGGGCAATTAGAGTTCGTTTGAGATGGCATTTTACTATTTTACAATTTTATATGCTTTTCTTGTTTATAAGTTCGTTTTTCTAATATAGATTCATATAAGGTAAGGCGATCATAGACTCATAGTAGTTACTTATGCATTTTTCCTTATAGGTGCATATAAAGAGAAGAAACAGGCTTAAGCATAAGAAGCTCAATGACTTGGTTTTTGTTAGAGAGAATCAAAGGCTCAAGGAGAAGAAAAACCAGCCAAATAAGGATCCTATCTCTTCGAAAGACATAGAGAATGCTTCAGATTGGCTAGTTGGTGACCCTGATATTAAGGAGGTCTTCCCTGGGGAGGGTTTGACATGGGAAATGGTCGAGGAGGCTTCTGGGCAAGCTTCTGATCCTAGGAGGGCCACTCGAGCAATGACTTCTCCTGGTACTTCACACTCACAGAGAGAGAGAGATAGAGGAAGAGGAGGCAGATTCAGAAGAATCTTTGGAAGAAGAGAAATATGTTGAAGAGGGTAATGATTCTGATGATGACGGCCTCAATTCTGATGCAGATGGACGCAATAAAGATGATGATTCTGATTCTTATTAATGTCTTCTCTCTTCTTTTGTAGTAACTTTATTGCACCATCTTGGCTTGGGCTTTAGACATTTGGACTATTTTGTTATCTGGTTTATACTTTTTTTGCCTTTTTGGACTATTTTGTTGTGTGGTTTAATGGTTTTTTATAGTTTTGGAAGTCAGTTTGTTAAAGAGTTGGAGACTTGGATGTTATTATGGTTTATTTTATCGATATGGAATATGGGGAATATGAGAGTTTGAAGACCTTACAATAGCCTATTAGACTTTTAAATGTTTTGTATGGTTTGAAATTTTGAATAAGTTTATTCTCAACTTGAGATATGTGATATGTTTATATATAAAATGTATGTTGCAAACTTGCGATATTTTCAAATGGAATAAATTACAAAATTTGACACAAATATAGCATATATGTGCATTTGGATAAAAATATATGAAAAAATGCTAAAAAATTGCACTACAGAACGCCTGAGATTCTGAACGCCCACCTAGGCACTAGGCGCTGGGCACCAGGCAGGCCGCTTAGCGTTTTTTGAAACCTTGGGTGGTGGCAAGGGGTCAATGGTCTTTTTTGTAGCTAATGATAACACTAACAACAAAGATATGAACAAAATCCTGAAGGGGCCAAATTCCATGAGAAAATAATCAGATTTCGGACCTCAATGAGGCAACTATAAAAAGCAAAGAGGAAGGCGAAGGAATTTGCACCACAAGCCTGAAACCAACATAGACAAAGCTATGTGGAGGTATAGATGGCATCTAGACTAAGCAAACTACTTTTTCAAAACATTCAAAATCGGTATTCAACATTGAATGGTTAAAACTCAAACAGGTTAGTAAGAGAAATTAGAATGCCTAAGACGATAGGACCCATGACATATAGAGGGTATCAAGCAATTTATAATGCTAGCATTTTTATGTTTGAATTCCAAGATATGTTTTTTATCTAGAGGGCATATATATGAGATGATAATGGCTGTTAGGCCAGTTCGTCCATTTTTAAAATGGTCGGTTGATCCATGTGGCAGCAAACATTCTTTAGGTCCTTGTTGGGACATAAGATGGATTTCTTACTTTTCAATGAATTTATGACCTTTAAGTTGAAAAAAAACAATTGGAAAACCCATTTATATGCCTTTCAAAACCAACACATACTATGATATTTGTGTCCAACCTAACTATATGCTACTCGAGCATGATCTTAAAAACGTATCGCATTAAAATGTATATCAATAAACAATAACAACAAATTATCAAAAAAATGAACAACAAAAAACTCAGTTTACAAGAACACCACGATATTTACCATATCACAAGTATATGCGGGTACTTTTATGAGTGAAATGAGGAAAATAAAGTCAAAACCATGAAAAAAAAGGAATCATCAAAAACATGAATAATGGATACCTACCTTTTGATAATATGAGGTTCTTTGCTTTCTTCCCCAGATTCCACAAGGTACTCATAAACCTTATCACCAAATTCCTTACCCAGCATGTTGTCTAACGCGAGATCTATATCGTAACAGTCCCTTCCCAAAAGCTGCAGAAAAACAACGGCCACAAAGTTTGTTAAAACCAGGCCACTTCCACAGAACAATACAAACTACGCCACTTCCAGAGACCAATAAATGTTGCCCGAGAAATACAACCGAGGATAAACGAAGCTTGTATGACAAAAAAATGGAAGAGAAAGATACAGAGAGGGATAGAGAGAAGAAAACACCTTATCGCGAACCCAACCTCCTGCAACTCTGAGCTGTGTTTGAAGGTTGAAATGCTTGACGACATTGAGCAATACATCGAAGATTTTCCTCTCTTTCTCGCTCAACTCAACATGGTCCCTCACCTTCACTGATGAGGAACACGCCTTCACGGATGCGGAATACGCCATTCTTCTTCTGCAACACTCGTGACCTAACTTCAACCCTAACCCTAATTTCCCCCTTCTTCCTCTGATTCTGGAGAAGCCCGGGAAAGCGAGGGGCGGGAACCAGAGGAGACGCGAATTGAAAAGAGTGACCATGGAAAAGAGAGAACCAGGAAATCGAAAGCTTATTAGCGTGCATTGGATCTTTTCTTTCGGAGTTTGTCACTATACACCAATGATGTGTAACAGAATGGTGAAAACTTTATATACACAACCGGTGTATGTGAAAATGGTTAGGTACGTATCTTCCCATTTTTTTAACCCTTTATTTAAAATGTAGGGCTAACATTCACCCACTCAAATTGTCACAAAATAGGAGATTCAAAATAAACATGCAGCAGAGAGAGAGAAAAACCCATTTTTAGATAGAGAGCGTGCGATAAAAGAAAGGAAAAGTACAAGTTTTTAGTTTTTCTCTACAAAAATTCGATATTTTCGCTTTTATTACCGGAGATTCCTATATAAAAATGCCATTAGTGAAGCTCCAAACAGTTCTTACCATATCTCATTTATGTTCAAAGCTTCTTATGTAAATCCGTCATGAACGAAACCCCGAATTGTTCTTACAAAACTCGATACATTTTTCTACGAAAGAGTAAGATTGGTCCCCTATGAAATTAATCTGCAAATCCGTCATTAGCAACGCTCAGCTTCTCCGCAATGCAGTCCTTGTCTATATTTCAGTGCTTGCTCTGAAAATCCGCCATTAAAGAAGCTCGGAGCAGCTCTCAAAGAACAAGCTCCGCTATAAAGAAGACTTCTTTTAGTGAAGCGGGGTTGTACTTCACATAGAGTTCCTTTTACAAATTCCACCATTAATGGAGATTTAGAACTGTTACTGCAAGGGAAAAAGAGAGGAGATAAAACCTATAAAAACAAAAAACAAAAAGCTGAAGAATTTTTCAGTAAAATAGACTATCTTACATGTGTTTCTCCTTTCTTCTCCCGTGCTTTCCGACTCTCTAAACCTAAAAATGGGTTACTATCTCTCAATAAATGGGTTACTATGGGCTATTTCATATGGGTTAGCCGTTGAGGCCATGACCCCAACTTGAGTGAACGAATCTCACATCTCTATTTTAAATCAATGGTTAAAAAAAGAAATATGCTGCAGGGGAAGCATTGAAAGCTTTCCCTATTTTCATATACGCATATGCCGTTTGTTTTTGTATTTTACACCAACCTTGGGATGTAATTTGTTTAAGTCAACAAGTTAAAAAAAAAAGTTAGGGTTTCATTCATGGTGAAGAAAAGGTTCCTCTTGTATGGAACGGGGGAGAAAGTACCTCAACTATTTGGATAAAGAAGGTTCACCCATGAATTTATGCCGGAATGATTCATGGATGACATTTTTTATAGGGCTTGCTTCCTTCTTGTGATGTTCCATGGCCAAGAATTCTCTCGTTTTTATTTCCTGCAGCTTTTTTTGCCCTATAACTTCTATTATTTCATTGGTAATTTAATTCTACTTTTCATTTAATAGATGTAAAATTTCAACTTTTTACGAGTGGAAAAGCGTTCAATGTATTAAGGTAATAAGAGCCAGGATATTTACCGGCGACCTTTTACCAATTTAAAGCAACATGTGAAGATTTCGTCTCAAATTAAAATGCTACGACATGGAATAAAAATCACTATCAGTATGTACAATACTCAGCTGATATGGCTAGAGATGGGTGTGAACTGGATGAAAGTCCTTTAAGTAATAATGCTAGGAGTCCTTTAAGTAATAATACTCAGCTGATAGGAGTATGCTTAAGCATGCCAAAAGCCCAATGCTCAAATATTTTAAGAAACTTGATTTCTATGTGGATACTCCAAATATTATTTTTTAATTTTACATTTCCTGGTTTTTTTTTTTTAATTTGGTTGCCTCGACTAGGAATATATGATAGGTAGAATTTCATTTTTTTTTTATCTCACATAGTTCAATATTTTGGTTTATATCAAATTAAGGATTCCATGGCATAGGAATTTGGTTTAATCGTCCTTTACTCGTCTTCATTACCACTATTTATCAATTGATGTTAGCTACAAGACACTGGAGGTTCTCTCTGTGTTTTTTAGATTAATCGCATACATATGCATATTTCAATAAATTTACTAGTGACATACTACCATCATATTAATATAGCAAAATATTACATGCCCGGTCGCATGTTTCGGCAATTTGGGAAGGTCTAAGGGATTGTTGCTAAGCCTTTGAAGTGGGATAGGAGGGAGAAGGTTGGCATGCTGATGTAAAAAAATAAAACCAGAAAAAAAATAAAAATAAAAGATAAAAAGTTGAGAGAATATACCATCTCTCAAGGTCTGCAAGGGAATTTCACCATAAGGTTAGATAATATACCCTATTGAGAAGGTTGGCATGCTGATGTAAAAAAACAAAACCAGAAAAAAAAAAAAATGAAAGATAAAAGATTGAGAGAATATATCATCTGTCAATGTCAGCAAGGGAATTTCACCCCAATGTTAGAGGATATACCATCTGTCAAAGTGAGCAAGGGAATTTCACCCCAATGTTAGAGAATATACCCTCTCTCAAGGTTTGGAAGGGAATCCGTCCAAAAATATTAGAGAATATACCCTCTCTCAAGGTTTGGAAGGGAATCCACGTAAAAATAATCTCTTTACGAGAACGAATTTTATTACCTCATCTACTTTTTTTACAATGAAGGGAAACATCCATTTAAATAGACTAAAAAATAAGATAAACATTAACAAAAAAACTCTCTCAGCACTTTTCCTATTTTATCTCTTCTTCCCTATTTTCTCTCTCTTAAAATCACGTATTAATTTTTCCCTATCTTCTCTCTCTTTAATTCACGTGCCAAAAATTAGGCTCGTTTCTAGCCTAAGTTTAGCCCAAAATTCTCCCCAACTTTCATTATTGTTGATAAGGATAAACTCTTGCTAAACTTAACTTTATCTTATTTATATTCATAAACTACCTCCTATAATTTAACCTTATCTATTTATATTCCAAACTAACTAATCCAAATCAATCAATAACTAATTAACCCAAATCCATAAATATCAACTCATATACAAACTCAATGCCCACAAATATCCATGCGCACCTCCTCTCCTATTCCTGAAGAGATAAACTACAGAATAATAAAAAATTAAGATAAGCCTAATATTATTTGCATCCTTCTTCCTGGGTTGGGAGAAGCTCATCCTCGAGTTCAAAAGTTGGTGATCAAGTCCCATCATGAGCCTCGATACTTTTTCTTCAATACTGATGCCTGCAACTGTGTTTCAAGCTTAATTGCTTGGGCTGATTATTCCTTACCAAGAATGGGTACAACTCCAAAAAAACACCAAGTTCAATCGATAAACACTCTTGACCATGAAATTTTGGAAGATCGATTTTAATGTCAAAATTTCGTAGCCGTTCTATAGGACGTCGCGAATCTGGCTTCTCTATAGGACACGACGGATCAGGCTTGTAAATTTCTTCAATATGCTTGAAATCAACACCTTGGATTTGGCGTGGAATTACTGGTGCAATATGAATGTGGTTGTGAGTACCTTCTTCACGAGGAAGATTGTTCTCTAACTGCTACAACATCTAATTCATGTCCTGATTCATCTCACGTACTTTAGTTCAAAAATACTCTAGGGCTTTAGTAAAAATTTCTACCCAACGATAATCCATAGCAAGAGTAGGATTAGCCTGATGGTTTAGATCTAACTTGCTAGCTTGATTGCTTAGATCCAACTTGCTCTCATGATCTAACTTGATCAGGATCTAACTTGCTCTCAGGATTTGACTTGCTCTAGTCTAACTTGCTCTGAGGATCTGACTTGCTCTGATACCAATTGATGTAAAAAAATAAAACCAGAAAAAAAATAAAAATAAAAGATAAAAGGTTGAGAGAATATACCCTCTCTCAAAGTCGGCAAGGGAATTTCACCCTAAGGTTAGATAATGTATCCTCTTTCAAGGTCTGAAAGGGAATCCACCCAAAAATAATCTAAACCAAATTTTATTAACTCATCTACTTTTTTTACAATGAAGGGAAACCTTCCTTTAAATAGACTAAAAAAATAAGATAAACAGTAACAAAAAAAACTCTCTCTACACGTTTCCTATTTTATCTCTTCTTCACGTGCCAAAAATTAGGCTCGTTTCTATCCCACGTTTTGCCCAAAATTCTCCCCAACTTTGATTATTGTTGATCAGGCCTAATGCTCAACCATCATCTTAGAAATTTTTTGCATGCCCAATGTTGGAATGGGATTTCGAAATGGAATTTTTGTTAGCTGTCATATGTTGCAAATTCGCGTTGCAAGTGGATTTTTTGTATAGCTTCCATATGTTACAAATTTATGTTGTAAGTGGAATTTTTGTATAGCTTCAATATGTTGAAAATTCATGTTGTAAGTGGAATTTTGTCTAGTTTGCCATTGTATTTTTGCTTACAATAAAAGTGTAATGTTGCGCTGATCATAATATTATGAAAGTGCAATCTATCTCTCATGCTATCCCACAGCTTAGCTATCTCTCTCTCTCTCTCTCTCTCTCTCTCTCTCTCTCTCTCTTTGAGTGTTTGTATCACAAAAAAAAACTTTGTATGCACAATTTATTCCCAATCCGATACAGAACCTTCTGGTGCTCAGAAGACTGGTTCGACACATTTTATTCCCAGCCCAATACAAAACATTTTGGCACCCAAAAGGTTGGTCCGGTACATTTTGATTCCCGGTCAAGCACAAAACCTTCTAGTGCCCAGAAGGCCGGTCCTACACATTTTATTCCTAGTCCGGCACAAACATTTTGGTGCCCAAAAGGCCAGTTCGACACATTTTATGTCCGGTCTGGCACAAAACATTCTGGTGCCTAAAAGCCCAAATTAGTTTTAATATTTGGACATAAACTGTTCCAAACTTGCGACTTATGAATTTCAAATAGAAATTTACAACATCAATATGCTAAGATATAACCATAAAATGTATAGGCATGAAGATAGCCTTCATTTCTAATTTACATTGGATAGAAATGCCATGTAGAATGAGATAATGCGAATACCAGGGCTAAATTTAGCAGTAGGCATGGTTAGAAGGGAGCTGTGGACAAGACATACACAAAGGAGGACATGCCATGGACAGTGCAATGCCCTACGCATGACATCATCATAAACCCATATCATACCTTAATTTTTGGAGCATTTATATAGGGTCACTTTAGATAGTCGAATATTTATGGAGCGCTGAGAATACGTTGCGACACATGGTCACTCAAGATATTCAAACATAGTGGCATATGCATTGATCATTTCGGTTTCACATTTCCTGAGAATACTTCGCGACAATATTTATAGAGTCCTCATAATACTTTCCAACACCAAATTTTTTTATCAAACTTTATAAAAGCAAAATACAAATCCTTTTTTCAATATCAGTTGTCTTGTAATTATATAAAGGAAAAAATTTATATAGAGTCGAGGCTCTAAACAATCAAATTTGAGCCTACCTTAAAAATATCACTAAAACAATATGTTGTGATACTTGAATATCTTCAAATTCATCATCTCGACATCAAGATGCATGGACATGAGAAAAAAATGGATTTCAAGTTTTGGAAGTAGTGCATTTTATAACACATTTTTAGACCATCAATTTTCAAGATTTTCAAGTTTTCATAGATGTGTCGAACTACACTATTTTTTAAGCCTTAAACTTTATAAATAAATATAAAAATATAGTTTAAGGTGATCACAATGATTTCCCGTATTAAAACCACATTTCTCGACACTATTTGAAGGCAGGCTCTAATTTGATTGTTTAAAGCCTAAGCTCAATACAAATCGCACCCTTATATAAATATTGTTGTAATTGTAGTAATACACATGTATAGAGATGCTAGAAGCCGCACTTGAAAATGAATGGGATTCCAGGCATTATGTAGTCATGGCCCATGAATTGTTATTAAAGAATACACCAGATCCAAGAGTGGAAAGTGAAAGCCAAGAGGATGGTGAGGAGGAGAGTGAAGGTCAAGAGGATGGTGAGGAGTGAAATGAAATCAAAATACATATAATTTTCATTCGAAAAGTTTGACATAGTTGAGTTGCTACAAAGTACACCCTTCCCCTTCATCTTTTGTCAAAGTTTCCATCTCGGTTCCTCGGGCATAACAAGACCGTGTACCTGATACCGGTCTTCTCTTATCTTTGTTCTCCTCTCATTGTCTTCATCGGCTTCACTTTCCTTTCCTCCATTTTTCTCCTCATCATCCTTTTCACTTTCACTCCCCTCTTCACTATCCTCTTTGCTTTCACTCTCCTCTCCTGCATCTGGTGTGTTTTTTAATAACAATTCGTGGGCAGCGACTACATAACGCCTTGTATCCTTTTCATTTGCAAGTGCGGCTTCTAGCATCTCTATACAGGTGTGTTGCTGCAATTACAACAATAATTATATAATTACATGACAAACGAGATTGAAAAAAATTGATTGAATATATAACAAAATTTAAACATGTAATGAAATACACAACTAAATAATAAACACATGATCGGGAGTAAGTGGGGTTATGGACATCTTCAATAACATTGTGTTGCTGTTCGCGCCAATCCCTAATCTCCATGCTCAACGTATCCTTCCAACTTGTGGGATGCATGTGATGCAAATAATATTAGGGTTATTTTAATTTGTTATTATTCTTTAGTTTATCTCTTCAGGAATAGGAGAGGAGGTGTGCAGGGATATTTGTGGGCATTGAGTTTGTGTGTGAGTTGATATTCATGGATTTGGGTTAATTAGTTATTGATTGATTTGGGTTAGTTAGTTTGGAATATAAATAGATAAGGTTAAATTAGAGGAGGTAGTTTAGGAATATAAATAAGATAAGGTTACGTTTAGAGAGAGTTTATGAGATGATGGTCGAGCATTGGGCTTGCAAACAATTTCTGAGATGATGATCTTGAGGGTTGAGCATTACATTGGGCTAGAAACTCCAGTCATGTTCTTAAAGATATGGCCTATGCTTTGACTTCTTACATTGTTATCCAAACTGGTATAGTCATAGAAAATTTAGGAAATACATTAGCTCCATAACCAATTCAAAATGAAAACCAATTAAAAATTAAAAGACCTAAGCATTTAATGGGTATCTAATCCTCAATAGGCTCCATATTAACAACAATGTCATCACTTGAAGACCATCCACCTTATCTGGTGATGTCCAAAGCTGTTAATCAATAATACCTAAACATAAGTAAGTAACAAAAATTCATTTCTATGTCTCATAGACACAAAATTCAAGTATAAGCATGAATTTCAAAATAATTCCACACCTAGCAAAATAAAAAATAAAAAATACTAACTAGAGATTGAGTTATACATTGATAGCAAAACAATTACAAATTCAAAATTCACTACTACAAATCACAATAAGAGAGGTAGAGATAGAGAGTAAGAAATCAAGTTTATTAAGATACAATAAATATAAAACACAATGAAAATAACTTTTTCTTTTTTTCGACTCATCCTATACTGCTTAAAATAAATAAAACCACTATATTGCTGATTTACTAATGGCATGAATTGGTTGTTAAGTTTCTATTGAGATGAATTATTGGGTTAAAGTAAGAGAAACGTAGTGACAATGGATGAATCACAATGAGAGAGAGAGATCATTTCACATAAAGGAAATGCAAGAAAAATCAGATTAAAGTCACAAACTCACCTTGGTCTCCAAGGGAACCGCACTTCAATGAAACGCTCGAAAGGTATGTAAGCCCCCAAAGCTTAGGGGAAAATAAAGAGAACCCAATTGATGAAATTCAAACCACAAACTTTGTCAAAAAAAATAGTCGTTGCAACACTTTGAAGCATATAACCTCGCCACAACCATTAGTGGAAAAAGAGAGATATCATCTATCAAGGAACAAGATCAAAGGGAGAGATAGAGACGAAGAGAGATAGCAGAGAGATGGTTTAGAAAGAGAAAAACAAGAAATGGGTGCTTCTAAAAATGTCTTTTTTCTTTACCAGAGATAAAAGAAACGCATAAAAATAAAGAAACAATAAGAGAGAGAGTTATCTTCCCTTTAGAGGATTTTTTTACTCGATATTGAGGTTGCAGAGGAGAGAGAGATCTTCATTTTCATGCGATGGAGGAGCTTCTTCTCTCGCGTGTTGGTTTCTCTTCTCTCCCTCCTGCATGCCCTCTTTCTTTCAATTTTCCCCGTGCTTTCTCTCCTCTCTCTTTTACAGTAAAGTTTTTAGGCAACCAGTTGAGCCATGGCTGTTTTTGTGACATTTTTAGTGGGGTGATCTCGGCAACCCATTTCAAATGAATAGTTGAAAAGAATGAGGAAGATAGTTTTTTTATGCTATAGGCAAATCATATAAAGTTTTCCCTTTTGTAAATAGATAGATATGCACTTATTGAATTAAAAAAGAAAAAAGAAAAAGTCTACAAGAGACCATTTATCTTTGATACAAAGCAATAAGTTAGAATGTGATCCCCATGGGCTCCTGTATTCCCCACTCATCTCCCTCCGCCCTAAAGGGATTTGTTTAACTACAAATTTTGCAAATTGCATAATTAACACTAGACACAAACAATTCAAATGAGAAAAAAATGATTAAGAGGTTCTAAAGAGCTAGAACTAGTCAACTATGAAGTAGATGACCTCAACTCCTACTTCAAAAGAAAATTATTTTCTAGGATTCTTTTAATCATGCCTTTTTGCCATGTCCAAGAGATCTCATGTGCCAAATTTGAGTTGAAGCAAACAAGGGAAAGCCAAACACCCTTGTGGTCCACCCATGGTCCCACAATATTTTCCCATATTCTTGATGCTTGTTCTGAACGAAAATTCATGGGTGTCACCATCTAACATTTGTAAATTCAATTTTGCATAAAGTAAAAAATTTCATTCAATAGAATCTCAAATCTTTAACATCCACATGAAATGGGAAAATCCCCAACTTACAGAGTTTCCAAAGCAATGAGTTAGAATGTGATCCCCATGGGCTCTAATGTTGCAAGAATTCTATACATTACATATAAAATAAACATAAGAGATCAATCCTTAGAGAGTGAGAGATCAATCCTAT